TTATTCGGAAGACATCAAGCGTATGATTATGTATTGATTTAATGTGATTTGGACTTCCAGCACACTTTTATTGTATTGATTAACCTCATATTCGCGTTACTTTTACTTTTGTTCAACATGGTATTCAATTGTATTAATTCTGCGGCGATTTTCCAATGTGATAGTTTCTTTAAGCAACAATTACTGCATGTAATCTCTGTATAATGGGACGAATTTGAATGCGAATTAGTCTTCTTTGATCTATATTAGATAAATCTTCCTGATAGATTTGTCTTTTGGAGTAGCTGGGGCTAAGAGAGAATGGAGCTGTAGTATTCTAATATCAAAGTTTAGTTAAGTCATTGGTATTATCACAGTCATATTAGTAAGATGTTTTGCAGTCCTTAAATTGTGAAGACTGCAATAATAATGATAATAATAGTTTCTTAAACTAATTTTCAGGATTCTGACAAAACATTGAAAACAAAAATGCGTGAAAAAATTCGTCCTAAAGTTGGAAAGGTGGATATCGATTATCACAAATTGCACGATGCTTTCTTTAAGTATCAAACCAAACCCAAACTATCAATTCATGGCGATCTTTATTATGAAGGCAAAGAATTCGAAGTAAAACTAAAGGAGAAAAAGCCTGGTAATATGTCAGATGAGCTTCGAAATGCTCTAGGTTTACCGTCTGGCTCCGTAAGTTTTAAATTTTTACTATGTAGTCGTAGATTATTTATGTGTTATTTTATCACATCCCCTAGGGATCTATAACCTATTAGAGCCAAACTTTTCAGACCTACTTTATTTTCATTAGGGAGCTTTGTCAGCATTTTCAAACGAAATAAAATTTCATCGGATTCCTGGTTCCTTTTTACGATCTGAGACGCTTGTATGATGTACTTTGCTCCTATTTGTCACATACTGTACAATTCTCAAGTACCATTTTCCTAATTTTTACGCGATATCGTGTAGCTCTGTTTCGTGGTCTTATTCGTATATATAAATTATATGGGAACTTGTGTTGATTTGTTTGAAAACTGTTAAGCATATCGCGTTTCTTTTGGGATTAGATAATGATTTGAAGATAATTACTCAGAATAGTATGTTGGTTTTATCTTTAAGACAATCAATTTAATGGTTTTTATTTTGGTAGTGATCAAAGTTTGATAGGATTTTGATAAAATAGTATAGTTTTGATGCGTGTATTTACCAACAAACTTGTTCACCTTTTATAAGATGACACCATAGATAATTTAAGGCCGCATGTTATTATTTAGATGCAGTAGGTCACAAGTGTGAATCAAATTAACCAAAGATTATATTTTTAGTTTTTTGGTGGTTTATACACTTAATTCGTTCTTTTTATCATGATTTTAGCCTGATAAACCTGAGTACATTAATTGTGGTTCACACCATACACTGAATTCCCGATTTAAATTCATTAGTTTTTGTTTGACTAGGAATATCGATTAACACTTGATTAAATCGAGTTGGCCCACCCGCCTTCTCCACTGCGTGTCATTTTGTTTTGCTTCGCTTTCGGATTAATGGTTTTACGAAATATACATATTCAAAATCCATTATCGCATTTGAATTATTTAATTCCCTTATACACTAACGCTATTTAAGTCGATGCTAGGATTGGTGATATGTCTATATCAGCAACGATAATCACACGACTAAAGTGGAGTAAGCTAATTCAGGGCCATTAAAGCAGATTATTTTCCCACTCTCCTAATATCGAAAATAAAATACACTTTCTGCAAATTTCACTTAAGGGTGCTGAGCGATATCCTCCCCCATGGTTGATTGCTATGCAACGGTATGGTCCACCTCCTTCGTATCCCAATTTGAAGATTCCTGGTCTAAATGCTCCTATTCCGGATGGTTGTGCATTTGGTTATCACCCTGGTGGATGGGGTAAACCTCCCGTGGATGAGCTAGGACGTCCCGTTTATGGAGATGTGTTTGGGAATGGAGGTAATATTGCCGGTGTACCACCACCGCCACCCCCACCAACCACTTTTGAGGATGCCGATGAGCAAATCGGTAGGTTTTTTACATTTTTAAAAATACATTTCACTATTTGTTTGGTGATTCTACTGTTAAAAGTAGTGCGTCCTAATGACAATCAAATGTTAAATTTATTCGAAGTTGTTACATGGATTGCTTCTTTAGATTAGGAATAAAGCTGTTTAATATCATGTCCTACATCAGATGAGCCAGTCAGCTACAACTTAAGACCGGGCACATATATGAAGGATGCATTTAAATACCTACGTGAATGTGGATATTGGTTGTTGTAGCTTTGCTGGAAAATAGTAAATATTCTAGCTGGTATATTTAGCTTGCACGTATTACCAGTTTACTACTCTTGTTATCTAATCAAGGCAATGTTTATGAACATTTCTCTTATTTTTAAATAAATGGTTGATATTATTATAATCTTGATGCTTATTTTTTGCTCATTTGTTTCTGTATACTGAATCCTGATAACCACTGATCATTAATTTTTTGCTACAAGAGATATACTTTCCGAGTTGATACTGTTTAGAATAACAATTTCCAATTATGTCATTGTTAATAGGAATTAAAGATGAGATTAGGTAATAATTGTTTTAGTGTTATACTTAGCGTTTATTTTAGAACAACGGACTAGAAGTAACTGATCTATATGCCTCTCTCTTCTTTTGAACACCAAAGAAAGGTTGACATCTGATTCAAAATGTTAAAGGCAAACAATCAGAACGAAAAGCTGCTAAGACTGGTGTAAATATATCCACTTAAAGCAAAGTTATCTAACAATCGCAAAGTATGAAATCAAAGTTCTTTCCTACCACTTCAAAAATATTTAAGACTTTGATTTGTTAGTATAATATTAGTAAAATATACACTAACTGCGTATTGTCACATATTCTTTATTATGAAATCAGCTCATGGAAATATCAGTTATTGGGGCGAGTTGGAATCTGATGAGGAGTCTGAAGGCGAAGATGGTGATCAGGATATGGATACGGACGATGAAAGTGATGAAGATCAAGCAGCAGCATCTGCGATGGCTGAAAATGAAGCCAAAAAGATGCTCGTTACTTTGCCAAGTGCAGGATCTATTCCTCGACCAGTAGATGTCGGTGGCCTAGTCACACCTGCTGGAGGGTAAGCTCTCATTTATTTCCCATTACTTTTATTTGTATCCTTCCATAAGTTGTCTTTAGCCAGAGAATATAATCGCTAGTGCCCACAAAGCTCATTTCGTTTGGTTGTAGTCAGGAATGAACGTATTATCAGTTAGAATATCCACCATTCGTTTGATGAGTATACTGTGCTCTGTTTTCGTGGAAATACTCATCTCTTCTTTCAACATAGCAAATAATTCTAGAAAATAGGTTGACAGATCTTAGTGATAATATAAGTACTCTTAAACTAAAATTACAATATTTCGATATCTTTCCGTTTAATTATATAAAGAATATTTGAAAAAAGCGGGTCCCCGCTTAATATTAAATCCGAAATAATAATTAACAAGAATCACACTCACTGATTAAAACAAACGGTTTAAAAAATAACCATTTATTGTAAAAGTTAAGCAGCTTTTAAAGTTTTATATCTAATCATTGATTGAAATGGACCAACTATTGTCGCCTTTACCAATGGCGAAGACAGTATGTTCTGTTATCTATGGGATACATCCATTTTTTCTGTCTAAATTCTATAATTTTGTATATCTGCTCAGTTTAGTCACAAACTGTAATCGATTCTAACCGTCTTGCCTTATTCCTTATTTTGACTTACTTGTTTATGGAGCTTGGTCTGGAAGTTAGATAATTTGACTTTCAATTAATTGACTCAGAAGTGGCTTATTAGTTATAACAGTCGGGTTCCAATAACTTCGTAACGGCTTCGAGCCAGGTTCCATATATGTGGGCTTGGGGGGCCGGGTAATGTTGTCAATAGTTCTCTCTCTCACAGTGTGATTGAAATGTAGAGTACATAAACCTGTATCTTGTCACAGAGTTGTATTAGTTGTTTGTTTTCAGAAAAAGCTGATTAATATAGTTTCACAGTATTTTATTCAATATTTCAAGGATCCATCCATTCATTTATTTGAAATAAAGCTCATTTTGTACTGAGCCATTTACTTGATTGGTTATATTATGTTAGCCAAATAAATAATTTTTGTTTGATGATATGGTCACGATTGTCCTTGAGTTCAGGGAAGGTTACTCAAACTCGCTCCTAACACAATACTATGATGATGGGAAAAATCCTGGTTTTTATTAGTTTTCGTGTTTATTTTTATATTTTCTCGTGATTCTTTGTGAATATTATCCTTTGAGCATTTATGAATCATTTGATTGACAAAATTATGCATAAAATGGTTCACATTGAGTTCGTAATATAAGAAAGTAAAGATTTCTTAATTTGACAAATAAACATTGGTGTAATTTCATGTCTACTTTATTATGATTTTTTATTGTGAATGGGAATTGCCAATTTTCAAGGATTTTCTCATTAGTTAACTACTTTTTGTAGGTTTTTTCCTCATTTGAACTTGATTGCTTTGAGGTTTATTGATTTTTTAGGAACGTTTCCGACAATTCATGAGTTTTCGTGTATATCATTTCGCGTAATTTCTTTTATTAAGAAATTAGTTTTGTTTTTGGTTTTATATTATTTTTTTGGTTACAGATTAATAACACCTAGTGGTGTATCCAGCGTTGGTGCTGGTTTAGAAACTCCACAAAGTATGATTGAACTACGTAAGAAAACTATAGAAGAGGCAATGGAAGATAGTACTGGTTTGGTTACGCCGTCCACTCAGTTGTATCGTGTACTTCCTGAAACTGAAACTAATTTACAACCTAATGCACTTATGGGTAGTACTAAATTGTATGATGTGGCTGGTGTAACAGGTGCTCAGCGTGGAATCGAAGTAAGTATACTGTTTTATGTATGTAACCGATTCAAAGTATACTTAAATTCTGGCTTTCTCAGTTTAACTTATTTATCCCCATTAAAACGATAAACAATCACTTATTTTAACTGTAGTCTCATTTTCCTATAAACTTCTATTGGAAAAACAACATTTTGTGATAAGTTTATTCAAAAGGAACTATGAAAAGAAATGGATGCAAAGTCTGTGACATTAACTGATGCAACCGTTTTCAACTAATGTTTGGCGTATTAATGTAGGCTATCCTAACAAAATAACGTTTTTGATACACAAAGCCCATAATTTCAAGTAATCTACTGGTTGAGGTCAACCTGGAAATTAAAGTATTCAAACTTTCATTCCATGTCACAGATATATATATGATTTGTCGTTTCTGCCTACGCTCCCAGCGACTGCAGCTCAGATGAAATGAAAGATGAATTTTACAGAAAGCTATCTGAACTTCTTCAGAAAGCTAAACGTTCAGACATAGTAATCGTAGCAGGTGACTTTAATGCCCAGATAGGTAGTCTAAGCCAAACAGAAAGGCATTTAGGTGGGTATTATATTATCCCAGCTCAGCGAACAGATAATGGTGATCGTCTGCTGCAACTGTGCTCAGACAGTCGTTTATTTTTAGCAAACACAAATTTTAAGCATAAGGAGAGACATCGTCTAACATGGCGACCCCCTACACCAAACCAACGATGGACTCAAATAAACCATATTGCCATCAGTCATCGTTGGAGAGGGTCGGTAGAAGATTGTCGCTCATTCTGGAGTACCTGCTTGGACTCCGACCACGCCCTAATACGGGCACGCTTCTGCTTGCGCCTCACTGGACGCAAAAAAGCCACATTAAAAAGACCCATTAGAACTGAGTTGAGTAACGAGAAAACCAAAAGTAAGTTTCAGGAACAACTGAGGTCACACTTAGATAGTTCTGAAAACGAGGCTGACCCAGATGTTGCTTGGAAAGATATACAAACAGCTGTGGAAACAGCAATGAAATCTATTAGTGACTTAAACCACAGAGTTACAAAGAACCAATGGATTTCTTCAAAGTCTATCACACTGATGGATTCTCGCAAACTCGTCCCATCAGGTTCCGAACATGATGAAGAGCGACAACAAATCAGATTTAGGTTAAGAAAGAGTCTAAGAAACGACCGTGAGCAGTGGTGGGCAACGAAATTGAAAGAGATGGAAAAGGCGGCGGCTATAGGGAACACAAGACAGCTCTACAGACTAATAAAAGAAACTGGAACTAATAAGTCAAGTGTGAGATTATTTCGGAAAAGGACGATACTCTCATCTACTCCCAGTCCAGACGTTTAGAACGATGGGCGGAACACTTTAGGGAACAGTTCAGCTGGCCTTCAGCGACTCTACAACTACCGTCCATTCCCAGACAGTGTGAATGGAACATTGAAGTAGGTCCCCCAACTCTAGCAGAAGTTCAAAAGGCTATAGTTAATCTGAAACGAGGAAGAGCGGCTGGTCCAGATGGATTGGCTCCAGGTCTTTAGGGATGGTGGTCCAATTTTAGCGGTTAGGTTGACTAATATTTTAGCTAAGATCTGGGAGTTAGATGTTATTACATCTGATTGGTCGCAATCACTTATTGTTCCAATATACAAGAAAGGATCAAAATCATCTTGTGACAACCACAGAGGGATTAGTTTAACAAATATAGTACCTAAAATACTAGCCTCAATAATAATCAGACGCCTAACTAAGACTCGTGAATTGCAAACACGAGAAAACCAAGCTGGCTTCAGACCTGGTCGTGGCTGCATCGACCACATATTCACTATTCGTCAGGTTCTAGAACACAGGCATACTTATCGACGTCCGACAATGGTGGTCTTTCTTGACTTAAAAGCAGCATTTGACTCCGTAGACCGCGAGATTCTGTGGCAGTGTCTGTCATTGAAAGGTGTACCTCGGAAGTACATAAACCTTGTAAAGGTTCTTTACTCGAACACTACTAGTCGAGTCAGAGCTTATGGCGAACTGTCATCTGGTTTTGCAACTTCAAGTGGTGTCCGTCAAGGATGTCCACTTTCCCCATTTTTGTTTAACTTCATCATAGACCTACTGATGAAAATAACATTCTCGTCGACTGAATTCTCGGGTATTGATCTCCTTCCAGGAGGTCCACTTATGGACTTGGAATACGCAGATGATATAGTCGTCTTCGGTGAAGACGCTGATAAAATGCAGTTTTTTTGGTAGCACTAAGCAACAATGCCAGAATGTTTGGAATGCGCTTCTCTCCCTCTAAATGCAAGTTGTTGCTTCAGGACTGGCCTGCGTCAACACCTGAACTATGGATAGGGAGTGAAGTGGTCGAACGCGTCGACAACTTCACTTATCTTGGAAGTCTGATCAGCCCTAATGGGTTGGTATCGGACTAAATCTCAGCACGGATTCGAAAAGCTCGTTTGGCTTTTGCCAACTTACGTCACTTATGGAGAAGGCGAGATATCCGTTTATCAATAAAAGGACGAGTATACTGCGCGGCAATCCGTTCTGTCTTACTTTACGGCAGCGAAACATGGCCTTTAAGAGTAGAAGACACTCGTAAGCTACTAGTATTTGACCACAGATGCCTTAGAAATATTGCTGGCGTCTGTTGGGATCAACGTGTAAGTAATAGTGAGGTTAGACTCAGGGTATTAGGTAATGATGGTAAATCAGTTGATGAAGTTGTTAATCTTCATCGACTGAGATGGTTGGGCCACGTGTTGCGTATGCCTGAACACCGATTACCAAGTCGTGCAATGCTAACGTGTGTTAGAGATGGTTGGAAGAGAATTAGGGGCGGCCAAACCAAAACGTGGCATCAGTGCTCGAAGACACTAACCTCTAATCTGAGCCATGTTGATAGATGCGGATTACTTGGTTGGGGTCCGCGTGACTTTCGTAACCGATGGTTGGAGACTCTTGGTGATATGGCTCAGAATCGATCACAATGGCGTCGGTATATACACTCCCTGTCTTCCCTTAAACCAAGAGATTAAAATCGCTTCTTTCTTTCTACGAACTAATTCTATATTCCGGTACTGTATCCTTATGTGCAATCTTTCTCCTATATATTACCACCTTTAACCTAACCACTCTTATGAATCCGGTGTTCATCTTGCTGTGCTAATGAGGTATGGCAACCTGGACCGATGCATATATGTGCCTGGTGCTACGTTGTAGCTGACTGACTGATATATATATGACTTACAGTCCTTATATGCATATAGTTCAACGTTTCTTTATGATGCCAGTACTTATCATTTTTCGAAGACTTGGTATACTTTTCAGGTAATCTAGTTAATGTTTGAATGCTTGATATTCTAGTTAATACTGTAGGTCTTAAGTGCTGCTTTAAAAGAACTATCTCAACTAAGATTTATGCGATGGCAAAACTTGAAACTTGGGTTTCCCAATGCATTGTATGAAATTCCGTACACATAGTTCCTTTTTTTATCTTAAAGAGAGAAAGAACGAACATGTTTGTTAACTCCATGAGTTCTAATCACTAATTCAATGTTCGAGAACTTTCCTTCCCAAACTTTATTTATTCGAAACAAACAATTTTTAATGACCTTATTGAACTCTATTGAAATATTCGCTACATCATGATACATATATTTATCTTTAATCACCCTCACTTGTATAAGTATATCAATATGTCGTAACATGTGAGACTGCAGGTTTTGATGAGCAGCGTTTATATCGATCGATTCAGTAACACGTAAACACGTAATGAACGACCTAGAGTCCCGATTGGCCCTGCTTCCCTGTCTAGCCCAGCCAGTTGAGTCCAGAACGCAAGTCACAGCCTCTGAGATATGAATCATTATATTTCAAACACACTCTGTTTATATACTAACCAAGTAGACCACATCGTACCATAAAATAGAAAATAACATTGTACAATATTGACCAGTAGGAAAATGACACGTGAAATAAGTACTGACCAATAAGAAAATAATACCATCTCCAAATCCAAGAATAGCAATAGACTTTATAGAATAATTTCTGGGATATTTTCCTGAATATCCCAACACAATATCTATAAAACGTTGATTTTAAAATATTATAGGTTGTAAGCAGCTGATGAGAACCTAACGAAATAAACTGAGTTCATATTATTCTGCATCAATCTTCGTTCTTGCTCTCTTTAAGCATTGTATGAATGTTGCATCTTTTCTTCAGAGAACATAATAATCCCAATTACTTTTCAAAGTTAAGATGTACCAAAGGTACAAATATTTTTCCACTAGTTTCTGTCCTTTTTCTATCTTACTTGCTAGTGTTCCTTAATTTTTTTTTAACATCTTATTCTATTTTGAGATGATATTTAGTATAATTAATCTATCATTCAATCTCATTGCATTCCAAAATTTAATAATATTATGCTTCGCGATGTAGCACGTATATTCACCTTTTATATAAATTATATCATACCTAAGTCTACTTCGAAATAAAGTAGTGATTAGTAATAAGGTTTGACTAGACCAAATGACAAAATCTATATCTAGACACATGTGTTTATTTGTTGAGTTTTGTGATCACCCTATGATAATTTATAGTCACGAACAGAATCTAATATGAACTCGATAGACTGTTAACACTTCGACAATATCTCCAATTTTGTGTAAGACAGGTACACAGAAATGGGTTGATATTTAGGAACTTTAAATGGAGGTGGAATGACCCTGTATATATGGTAATACAAAGTGACCTTGGAACAGATAACAAAATTAACAATTTAAGGGTGACAAGAACCAATTAAATAACAACAAAGCCGGTACAAAATTATGAGTTAGAGGTTTATCATAGTTGTCCTTACGGAAAAAAAACTTAATATTTATTAATCAGAAACTAGATAACATGAACTCTCATTATCATTACTACGTATTAATTTATTCTATTGATTTATTCTATAGTGAAATCAGTTACTAAGATTGATTTTCAGCAAGTTGCATATTATTAAACTTCATTTTTAGATGAGCTAAATAAAGGAAAACATTTAACGCGATATTATTTTGAAAATGATTGAAAATTACCAAAAGAGTGTACCACATTACTTTTAGGCTTAGAGAGGATTGTTCATTAATACATATTGTTTACAATGTTATTTATTCAACTTTTTTCGCTTTACCTAAACTCTTTGTCTAGGCTGAAGATCCTCGTGAACGTATGTTACGTAAGCGCATAGCAGGCACTGAATCGCAGCAAGATCAAATTAGTGGAGTGAAATCTGGTGGGGGTAGTGCAGTTTTAAGTAATGCACCCGAGCCAACTGTTCCGTCCACATCGAAAAAATATAAAGAATTCAAGTTTTGATGAAGTAATGAATATGCATTACAAGGAAAAAACACTCGTTGTTCATCGCACCATTACTGCTAGAATATACATACTTGAATATGACATGCAGCAACAGAATAAAAAAGTGATCATATCTTTCAGTTAACATTTATTTGTAAATATGAAAAAACGTTTGGATAGTTTTAAAATAATTCTAATAATAAACCTTATTTATAACAAATGAATGATAATTGTGTTGTAATTTAATATCTGAAAGGAGTTGTTTGTTATCTATTTACGATTAGTGTAGTGATGATTTAGTGATTAAAATACTAAAGTTCAATCACTCAGTTGGTCATAATGTGCGTTAGCCCAAGTTTTACTATATTAACGCCACAAGATGAATAGTAGTAAAGCAATCGAAATATTGGTATTGACAATAACAACGAGAAAGAGTAAATATTGTTCGAAAAACAGAATTAAAAGGTATGTATGGAGTAATATTGGGATAAAAGGTCTAGAATGACTGCATCTGCACTGCATTGGCATGTTACCCAACGTTTTCAAACACTAGTTTATCTCTCAAACTTTAACCATGTAATTTGAACCTGCCAACATAGTTCGGTTAAACGATCAATAATTTCATGCTGTAATGTCACGTTTTAGGTTTTCTATCCCTAGCCTTCACCTGACTCACTCCTACACTAGTTAACATCGCTTAAGAACTAGTGCACAGACCTGTATTTGATCAATTAGTTACTAATATGTATTAATAATTATTGTTGAACTGTCGGACAGTTTTGGTCTCTATTAGGTATTCGCAGCTGATTGATCCCAATGTTTATTTGAATAGTTGTGTATCATGAACACGAGTTGATTCATATGTTTTTGTGAATTAGCCATTCCAAAACTGCCAAGCTCATAACGTATGAAACAAAAATCGATAGCATGAGATCCAAAAAATCTACACTTGTTAATCCTCTTAAGGTATTACGAATCAACACCAATAGTTTTCTTTGCATATGCATTCTCGAAGCCTCGTTTTTATCTCTAAGATATAAAGTTGAGACAAGTCCCTTCTATTACCTCAATGTATTTGGGTAGTAAGTAGTGTTGAGAAGGTTTGGAGTAGTGATACACGAAATATTTTCCGAAATGCTTGAATACCATTACACAGAATGTATTGTGAGTCTGATATCAACTAACTGCATTCCCTGTACTCATAAACAGTTAAGACCTATTTTTCTGTTAACGCCGCTATTTTGTTGTCTCAAGTAACGAGAAATAAAAACCGTCAAGTAAACTTTATTTAAGATATGTCAGCTTATGTCCTTTGGTTGCTTTTGGTGAGAATTTCAGCACACCCTTGAAAACAGGTGTGTTTATACACTATTTCAGAGAATAGTGTCTAGAACACTCTGTTTGGGATTTGGCTTCAGTAATTTGAATATTTCTCACCAAGTTTACTAAATTTGTAACTGACAATGTTAGTTACAGTGAGTAGCGTTAGCATTAAATCTTCAATATGCATGATTCGAGAAATATCGTACATATATTTTGTATTATAAGCAGAGATGCTTGTGACTTAAGGCATAATCTAAACTGTCCGTTCAGGACGCACATATGCCAATAAGAGACTGGACAATTGCAGTTGTAAACATCAATGGAAAGAGTCAGACAACCAATATAAAAATGAGTATATTTTGTAATTACAGTTCTGATCCTTGCAGAGTTACCAAAACTCATTTAGCTGTGTGATGATCAGTATTTCTTAGCATCATTCTAAAAATAATAAGGAAAACTAATTACTACAGTCTAAATTATCGTGACCGAATGGAGAGTAGTCATAGCAATAGCTTTGTTAATTATACGTAAACTAGCCAAAAAAGAATACCCAAAACGGGTAAATTTAATCACTAATATGGTTATGTAAGCAAAGCACTCATGTTCAAGAATTAAACTAGGATAAATATGAGCACCACGAACGATCCATTGCGAGTAACTTAGGTTCATCGATGTGTTCAGCATTTCAATATATGAATTATGTAAATGGTCTTATGTTACCTACCTGGACAAATCGTGCATCATAATGTTCCTGTATTTTGTCAAGAGAAATTAATAAAAGTCAATTTTCGACCTCGATCGGAATAAGGAGAAAATAAAAGGGGCTTAAACTGAGCAATTACAAATTGTGTTTACTGTAAATAGTTCTGTAACTCCCCCTGAAGTCCCTCCGGGGGCTACTGCCGGTCCCAAGCCCGGATAAAGGAGGAGGGTTGGGCATGGGGTTAGCGTCCCCATCCCGTAGAAGACTAACTCGCTAAAAAAACGCTAACCAGAAAAAATTATTCAAACCTTTTAAACTCTGCCCCGGGAGTCAGAAGGTCTTCATTTAGAAGAACTATGACGCCTCATGATGAAAGCCGAGTTCCTTCGGAAGTTACAAGGCCGATGCCCCTTCTGACAACCAGAGCAACCATTTATTTAGGTACATGTAATGTTCGTACAATGTGGGACACCGGGAGAGCCTTCCAAATTGCTGCAGAAATGAGGAGATACAACCTGGAGGTGCTTGGGATCAGTGAAACACATTGGACGCAAGTTGGAGAACAACGACTAGATTCAGAGGAGCTTCTGTTATACTCCGGCCATGATGAAGAAAATTCCCCCCACACACAAGGAGTTGCATTGATGCTGTCCAAACAAACACGAAATGCACTTATAGGATGGGAATCTCATGGACCAAGAATCATCAAGGCCTCCTTCAAAACAAAGAAAGAGGGCATTTCACAGAACATCATCCAATGCTACAATGAATACGCTAAAGATCAATTCTACGATAGGCTGCAGTCAATCATCGAGAAGTGCCCAACAAAAGACCTGACCATTCTGATGGGAGATTTCAATGCCAAGGTTGGAACGGATAACACTGGATATGAAGACATCATGGGACGACACGGACTGGGAGAAAGGAACGAAAATGGTGAGAGATTTGCAAATATATGTGCCCTCAATAAAATGGTCATAGGCGGCACCATATTCCCACATAAACGCATTCACAAAAACACATGGACTTCACCGGATGACACCACACAAAACCAAATCGATCATATTTGCATCAACAAAACGTTCAGGAGGACTATAGAGGACGTGAGAACCAAGAGAGGAGCTGATGTGGCATCAAATCATCGCTCGCTGGTCTCCAAGATGAAATTGAAACTCAAGAAGCACTGGACAGTGCGGCGGACAATATCACAAATCTTCAACACGGCCTTTCTTCAGGATACTAACAAACTCAACGAATTCAAGTTAGCCCTCATCAACAAGTTCCAGGCCTTTCATGATCTACTCAATGGAGAAGGAACTACTGTGGAGAGCAACTGGAAGGGGATCAAAGAGGCAATCACTTCAACATGTCATGAGGCCCTGGGTCACAAGAAGCACCATCACAAGACATGGATCACTGTTGATACACTGGATAAGATTCAAGAAGGGAGGATCAAGAAAGCAGCAATCAATACCAGTCGAACAAGAGCAGAAAAAGCCAAGGCACAAGCTGAATACGCAGAAGTAAACAAACAAGTGAAGAGGAGCATCAGAATCGACAAACGTAAATATATGGAAGATTTAGCAACGACGGCGGAAAAGGCTGCAAGAGAAGGAAACATGAGACAACTGTATGACACGACAAAGAAACTCACTGGAAATCGCCACAAACCAGAACGACCAGTGAAAAGCAAGGAAGGCGAGGTAATCACCAACATTGAAGAGCAACAAAACAGGTGGATAGAACACTTCAAAGAACTCTTGAATCGACCAGCTCCACTGAACCCACCCAACATCGAAGCAGCACCCACGGACCTCCCAATCAACGTTGGCCCGCCAACGATTGAAGAAATCAGCATGGACATCAGGCAAATAAAGAGTGGCAAAGCAGCAGGACCAGAAAACATTCCATCAGAGGCACTGAAAGCGGATGTAGCAGTAACTGCAAGGATACTCCACACTCTCTTCAATAAGATCTGGGATGAGGAACAAGTACCAAAAGACTGAAAAGAAGGACTTCTGATCAGAATACCGAAGAAAGGCGATCTCAGCAAGTGTGATAACTATAGGGGCATCACTCTTCTCTCAATACCGGGAGAAGTTTTCAACAGAGTATTGTTAAACAGGATGAAGGACTGCGTAGACGCCCAACTTCGTGACCAACAGGCAGGATTCCGTAAGGACAGATCGTGTACAGACCAAATCGCAACTCTACGGATCATTGTGGAACAATCAATTGAATGGAATTCATCACTCTACATCAAATTCACTGACTACGAAAAGGCATTTGATAGCGTGGACAGAACAACACTATGGAAACTTCTTCGACACTACGGTGTGCCTCAGAAGATAGTCAATATCATACGGAATTCCTATGATGGATTACACTGCAAAATTGTGCATGGAGGACAGTTGACAAAGTTGTTCGAAGTGAAAACCGGTGTTAGGCAAGTTCGCTTACTCTCACCCTTTCTCTTTCTCCTGGTGATCTACTGGATCATGAAGACGTCAACATCTGAAGGGAAGCACGAGGTACAATGGACATCTAGGATGCAGTTGGACGATCTAGACTTCGCAGATGATCTGGCCCTTCTATCCCAAACGCAACAACAAATGCAGGAGAAGAGGAACAGTGTGGCAGCAGCCTCAGCAGCAGTAGGTCTCAATATACACAAAGGGAAAAGCAGGATTCTCCGATGCAAAACAGCATGCACCGATCCAATCACAATTGACAGAGAAGATTTGGAAGATGTAAAAACCTTTACATATTTGGGCAGCATCATTGATGAACACGGTGGATCTGATGCAGATGTGAAAGCGCGGATCGGCAAAGCAAGAGCAGCATATTTACAACTGAGGAACATCTGGAAATCAAAGCAACTGTCAACCAACACCAAGGTCAGGATTTTCAATACAAATGTCAAGACAGTTCTACTGTATGGGGCGGAAACCTGGAGAACTACAAAAGCCATCATCCAGAAAATACAGGTGTTTATAAACAGTTGTCTACGCAAAATACTTCAGATCCGTTGGCCGGACACTATCAGCAACAACGTACTGTGGGAGAGAACAAACCAGATCCCAGCGGGTGAAGAAATCAGGAAGAAGCGCTGGAAGTGGATAGGACACACATTGAGGAAAGCACCTAACGGCGTCATAAGACAAGCCCTCAGATGGAATCCTCAATGCCAAAGGAAAAGAGGAAGACCAAAGAACACATTACGCCGGGAAGTGGAGATAGATATGAGAAGAATGAACAAGAATTGGATGGACTTAGAAAAGAAAGCCCAGGACAGAGTGGGTTAGAGAATGCTGGTCGGCGGCCTATGCTCCATTGGGAGTAACAGGCGTAAGTAAGTAAGTAAGTCTAACCTCATGATTATTCACTAAGATGTTACTCCATAAAATATCAATTCTTTGAAGATACTTTCAGCAAAATACTTAGACCATATACATATATCATGTTGTCATACATAAAATTTTAAAATCTAAAACCCCAGGCACTGTTTTGAAAACTCTGTTAACAAAAAACTTACCACATATTATGATATAATACTAATCGAGAGAGAAGTTCTAGTCGAAGTTCTGTAGCTTTGGGTGTAACATCAGAATGTGCATCTTCGGGAGCACGAATCAAGCAATATTTTGCAGCTAGAAAAATTAAACCAATTGCACTCGATGATAAAGATGTAAAATTTTGTTGAGAATATTGGATGTCCAAATAAATCGTAAACCATATAATGAATAGTTTTAGTTGATTTAACCTTTGAAAATTGAACATAAAATAATACAGAAATATAAACAATGAGAAACCAAAACAAATTAAATGAAAGCAAAGATGGATAGTGGCTAGCAGTGGAATCCACGACGTGCGTTTCGTTCTATTTGGGACTCGTCAGCAGGATGTATTGGCATCTCAGGGTTGATGTTCACTCTGAGATTTGGACCCAGTAGCATTCGCTTCAAACGTCATCGCGTTATCCACTTAGCTACTGAGTCGTGGTAGACACTTGCGTGTGCAATGGGGTGAATTTTAGTTCACTTGGTATTGTTTTACTTGAATCTTCCCAAAGCAGTACATTCCAAGTATTTCTGACCATAACAGGGTGAACCCTCTACGTTTCTGTCAACACCTATAACTTTGTAGATAAGCGTGAAGTGTGCCAATTTAACGAAGAGAAGGTCAACTGTGCAACAGACTACTGTGTACTACTGTATGAATATGAAACGTTGTCTATGAAACCAGTAGACATGTATCGGTTATAAGCAACCAATATGTATCTGTGAATATGTTATGTCCCGACAAGAATAATGAATGGTAACTTTTGGGATCCATTTACGGAACAATACCAAACGTATATTTCTATTGTATAATTATTAAGTAACGCATATTCGTATTCCTGTTATTATAAGCTTTATGTTGACCCATAAACTATTATTATAGGTTTTACCAGTCTTGAGTTACACCCAGTATATTAATTACTACCTCCCTCATTCAAAGCCACATCTGGCTAATTCTTGTACAAATGTTGTTTCATATTTTACTGGTACGTTGTCGTCTGTTTGATTGGTATATAAACTCAGTATGTTTGAAATATAATGATTCAAATGGCAGAAGCTGGGATTGATGTTCTGGACTTAACTGGTTGGGCTAGGCAGTAAGCGGGACCAATCAAGACTCTAGACTGCTCGCACGTGTTTTACGCGTCATTGGCCCGATCGATAATTCACTGCCCTCTAATAGGCGGTCACAAGGTATAACAGAATAACTGCTCGCAAGTCACAAAACTACTGGGTGACCGATGACCTTGAACGTACAAAGCTGGCAAAATGTGATTTATAGGGTTGTGAAGTTGAAAACCTTTGTCTGGTGACATGATCAGGGTATGCGTCACCTATTATCATTTACCATCTGATCCCGAGCCAAAGTCAAGGTGTTAAGAGATTGAGAGAGATTTGACCGAGAAATGGCATCGACCTCATTGTTGACTACAGTACGTAATACCTAAATACTTGGATAGGCCGACAATGTTTCTTTATGTTAGTTTTTAAATAAATTGTCGTCAGATAGATAAATGAATATCTGTAAAACTCAAAGAATAATCTGTATAAAATAATAAGGATAATACTGTAGTTGGGCCAGTGACAAATATTGTTCAACATAACAGAAAGCAATACCGACAAGATAATTTGTAAATTAGATATCAAAAGAAATCAACAAATATGAAAAAGAAAAAAACTGAGCATGTATTTTGTGGCCCGTTGATCTGACTCCATTTAGATCGTACGAATGTCCGTTATCACCTATCCCCGTATACAACTATCGACTTAAATCACGTTGGTCAATAACGGAATTTAGATAAGTCAATTAGCGAGGATGGCCTTTGAATACATATATTTTGTATGTAAAGTGAATGTGATAGAACAAAGCAAACTGACGCGCAGGAGAGATGGCTGGTAATCCAACTCCATTTCTAGCCAGGCGTTACGCAATATTTTTAGGCAGACAAAATAAACCACAGACATGGGATATGAAGTGTACACACACCTACGCGCTCATATAAAAACAGTTAAAACTGATAAGCCAATAATTAACAAAGTCAAATATGACTCAAGCAGAATGAATAGTTGGTTTGTCCAAAAACTAGAATAAGATATATTATGGGATTAAAATAATAAGTGACACTACATGTACACTTTCGTGTCAGTTCATCATACTTTCTGATTAATATGGAATGCCATAGAATATACAACAGAAGTGGAACTATTACGGTGTAGTATATTGCCGTTATGATGTTGAGAACTTTCATATATTATAAATAAGTAATATATTGTTAATATCCCAATGAGTAGAAAAACCAGATTTTCTGACGTTTCGTGACTTAGTGTAAGCCACCTCTTCAGAAAATAAGTAGCCAAAATAGTACGACAGAACAACATATTATGTTCCAATGTGTTACATTATAGTTGACTACAAACTATTCAAAATTGATCCTTCATATTACGAAGTTAATATAATATACAAATGATCATATATTGACTTACCAATACTCCATAAATGATTCAAAGTGTTTAGAATTGGAGTAATGAATTGAGGATAAGCAATTAAATCAATTTTATGAATTAATTTTCCTAATAAAGTTAACATGTAGATTTGTGTTTCACATTCTTTAACATCCTAAATGTATATGTGTAAAGAGATAAGGAAAACAGTATGAAGTTTTATGTCTATTTAGAAAGTTCTCAATGTTGTTTATAACTTTCGAAAGTTTATATTAGTGTTTATGTAAATCAATTCATATGTAATATCTAATTAACGCAAGTAAAATCTCTTAATGTTAACAGAAGCCAAAAAATGTTAAGCCTTTGTTGGTTAATCGATGCTTATGAGAAAATCTAGAGAACCCCCTGATGCAATGATTATATACCTTTTCGATCAAAGTAGACCGGTGTATAAATTACTGTTTATAATGACAATCCAAAATTTAAAGCTTTTTAATAATCATCTAATAAGAAGTCAGGTATTGTACAGGGAACTAACACTGAAGTAAAAACGGTGGTTGTCTTTCTCATCGATTGTGACAAGCAAACTTGATGGATTAAGAGTTTAAGAGCCAAAAAAAGTTAGTCATTAAAGTAGTTGGATTTAAAACTTGACAGAATAACGTTGAAAACGCAAATATACTGAACTATTTAGGAAGCAGTTTTATGAACATGTGGTTGCTTAAGTTCCCGTGGTAGATAAACTTTTATTAATAAACGGTTGGACATTGTTATAACTTGTGACCTGTGTGCCCTGTTAATGGAAAATGTAACGGTACCGCCAATTAGGGAGCAGTGAATTGTCTATCGGACCAATGACGCATATAACACGTGCGAGTAGTCTAGAGTCCTGATTGGTCCCGCTTCCTGTCTAACCCAGCCAGTTTAGTCAAGAACACCAGTCCCAGCATCTGCCATATGAATCATTTATTTCAAACATGCGGGGTTTATATGCCAATCAAGCAGACCACATCATACCATAAAATAAGAAACAACATTTGTACAAGATTTGGCCAAATATGGCTGTGAATGTGGGAGGTAGTGATTAATAGACAGGGAATAATTCAAGAATGGAAAATCGTATAATAACAGTTCATAGGTTAAAATAAAGCTTATGATAAGAGAGACATGAATATGAAGTTTAATTAATTAACAATTATACGATAAAAATATACGCATAGTATTGGTTCACAAATGGGTCCCAAAATTTACCACGCATTATTATTATCGGGACATAACAAACATATTGTCGATAAATCCACTACGTCATTAGCAGGAACTTGGGCAACGAAAATGCCATCAGTCTAATATTCTTTCGTAGTTCTTTTAGTGTACCCATATTGATAGGCTATATTGTTTTCCTTGATAAAACAGATTATGTAATGGCGAATTGATGCAGACTACATACCAGCCTTCGTACGAACACAGTCTGTTCATAATAATAATAAGGTAATATGATGTCTGAGAACTGAAGAAACAACATTCTACAGTCCCATGAGGTAAAGTATGTCATACAGTTAAAAATATCGAAAGAAACTTAACTTTTACTCGTTATACAAACATCTGAGGTATCAACGATGTTTCACGTGGTGCTCAGTGATTTATTTAACCGAATAACTTTATATGTTCTCACAGATTTACTAACTCCAGCCAAGAGGGCAATACTTTTTAACACAACTCAAGCTAACAGTCAAAAAATGCACAGATTAGTCACATGTCATGGAGTAAATATTGAAGGTTCTTATTAGCTTACGATTTTCCCACTGTTAATAAAGTCATAGTATACGGTGGTTAGGAATTCATGAAACATTGCTCTAACATTGATCAGTGCAGATTCATAACACAATTAGATGGATTAATGTTATTATCTACATCTTTAGACCAATATAAATATATAATGAAAATATTGCTTTGTTCTCCTAAAACTTTGATAATAGACACTATTAACATACTTAAAACTCCACATCTCCTGGTGCGATACACTGTACACTGTAACGCGATAAAAGAGATAGAGTTCAAGTTAGAATTCTAACAGAAGTAATTTCATTTTCAATAGGTTGTGACCCTATGCGATCTTGTATGGAATTTCCTACTACCGAGCCATCAGCTATAAGCTGTTCCGCTAAAGTAATCCAATTTGCTTTTGTTCCAAAATATGGTAAACACAGTTGTACAAATCTCATAATAGCTTCGAAGATATATGGTTTATTTGTTCCAGGATTAACTAACTAAAATAAAATAAAAGAATCTGATTATAAAAACCCAGTTATAATATGGGTATCAGACATTCAATTTAGTAAACCGCTCACAAATTGTGGAATAAAATGTACAAGCAAAATTATATTTAACTTTAATGTCATAACCACCAAAAGACCATTAAGTAGACAAGAAAAATCTAAAGAGTTTTGATCATTACCTTACGTTTTACCAACAGTAGCGCATCAGAAAAGTATTTCATCAATTCGACTGAGCGAGTGATCAATATATTTAGTTTTGAAGACAGTCAGTCAGTCGTAAAGTAGAGCATGGTGCGTATGTACATCGATTCAGGTTACTATACCCCATTAGCTAACATAGATGAAATTGTCAGGCAGAACTGTAGAGGTAGTAAAAGTGTCAATGGTAATGAGAAACACTACGTATCGAAGATAAAATTCGAGAAGAAACTGTAGATCAGTGAAAACAAAACACAAAAATAGTTATGAGGAATTCAGAATCTCAGAATTCAGGGAAGGATAAAGAATTGATGCACTTGTACAATTACAAGGGATTTTGATCTAAGTCATTCAGTCTCTAACCATTGGTTACGATGATCACACAGACCCTAACCAGGTAGTCTACACCTATTGGCATGGCTGAGTTCAATTGTCAGTGACTTCATGAACTGATGCCATGTTTTAGTTAGGCCGTCCCTAGCCTTCCTTCAACCTACTCTTACACTAAAAAACATTGCCCGTCGAGTCATCACGACAAATAAGCCCAACCACCACGTCAAGGTAGCAGCTACGGTCGGGAGTTTTTGAGAAATTTGTTCATTGCTAAGCTAAAATCGGGCAAGCGTAGGTTTATCTAACTGCACTATTTGATAAAGAATTAAGTTGTAAGACGGAAAATTATAAACCTATACTAATGATCTGCTGTATTAATGAAAACCGCTTACTATACGTTTACGAAAAGCGTGGTTCATATCATTACCTATTGTATTGAGATCACCAGTTAGGCATCTACAGTCGGTTATTAATTGGTTTAGTGTTTGATAGCTGGATTATACTAACAAGATATTAAACCATTGCACTTCGAGTGCACCAACAGTCTGATTATAGAAGAATAGTTCAGACTCAGTACATACAAGTCAACTTCGATAAATTATAAAAAGACTTAAAAATCGGTTCTTAATTTCTTCTGACAGCGTTCACTCCAAAACTGGTTCAGGTTCCCCCGCTCTACGATAGTACATGTAAAGAAAATCAATTAAAACAGAGAAATATCAAACAAAATGAATAAGGGAGGTATATAGACATTTAGAGTAATAAGATGTTCAGAATGTTCAGGAAAAGCCATAATGATCATATAAATTTACACTTCTCACCTGAACTATCTCATATAACACTGGGTCCGCCTCCTCATATAATCGGCAGAATATTGTAAAGATGAGTTCTGTTAATTGACGACAAGGCTGAGGTGTTAGCATGTGCTGGGAACTATCAGAGATACCCATTATTGTTTCAATGTTACATACACACAATTCACTTGCTTGATTATCTACATTCCAAATAGAATTTAAATCAGCATAGACTGAATTAGCTTTAGCGTCATGTCCTACACTGATACTGGAAATCCCACCCGACGATAAACAACCCTCTGGATCACTTGTGAAAAACTGTAACTCGTTTGGAGTAAGTATAAACCAATGTTCAAAAAGTGACATCATGAAGTACGTCCATTTGTTGCTGATTTGTCCACTGGGTAACTGGTAAGGCTGAGACATCCACAGTGCTAGCTGAAATACACGTTCGTTGAATAATGGAGTTACTTGAAAATAATAAAAACATTTATCTCCATTGTGAACTTTGGAGTATGCAAGACAGTTTTGATAAAAGTCTGCTAATTGATCAATTAATAAAAAATGGGTAGTAAAAGCAAGTAGTACTTCGATAAGAACAACTGAGTATATATGAAATGTCAGTCAATCACCATCAGCGTAGAACCCCCAAATGCCCTGGTACGGCCGAGAGTGGGGAGAGTCCGCTCTCCCTCTCGAAATGCTCTCACATGGCCACGCGTATATAGCCTCTGCCAGGGAAGTCCTACTCACTGCCTTCTCGTGGCTGGGGGGTTGTTAACGAAAATGAGGGGACGAAAAGCGAGTGTCCGGTACTTTAACTGGATCAGTGGACACGAAGAGTCCAGCTAGGGGAGTTGGAAAACTTTGACTTCAAATAATTGGTGCACATGGGCTCCAGGATCCAATGGTAAGAAATGGCGTGTGAATCTACTGCTGGTCACCGGATGCCATGGGAATTCATCTCCTAAAGCTGTTCCACTGCCTTTTGAATTAGACCTCTAAGTCAAGGGCTCGGGGAGTAGCTTTCTAGGAAAAGCACCTGCTCTAGTTTAGGCGCCCGTGTAGTATTCCAACCCTCACGCAAATTGAATGGTGAAATGTGGCGCAAATACATTTGGTGCCTCCTTGTACCAATGTGTATATGTTTAAATAAATAATAAGGAAACTAGGAACACACGAATCACAAAATCACATACTAAACATATTAGACCACGTCTTTTAAACTAGACATTTCAATACGCCCCAAGTATTATATCCTATCCGTTCAGATAGAAAATTCCCCTCAATATTAACACTAAAGCAAGTCGAATATCACTAAAGCCCTGGTCTTTCTAGATGTACGTCAGCGTAGTAATCTTAATTGCTCTAGCAACTGGTTTAAATTTTGTACCATCGAATATGACTTACATAAATAATCTATATAACTCTGTGCTATTAAGATTAAATCCTAGTGTGCTTCCGTGATATAATTTAAGTGCAAAACCAGATTGATTTCTGAAATAAGACATTAGGTAACTCGATTAATCATTTCAAAGAACAGTCAGTGTGACAGAAAACTTACCTTTCGAAAACTCATATAACATACTTTACGCTTCCCATGTTCAGTGTGATCAACCTGACCTCTGTATTTCGGCGACTTGCAACAAAGAACGCTGTAAGTAATTCCCAAGAGCCACTTCACTGCGCATGTATCCTTGCAATTCGATTGTACATCACCAGAATAGGAAACAATGATCAAAATACGATCTAATATAGGTTCAATAACGCAATCTCTGGTTTCCAAAGGACAGGATAAAAACAAAGCAAACAATAACTTTGATACACGCCGACGAAACACAAACATCAAGGGGGACTTTTCAGCGTCCAACATACTTTGAAATGCTAATTCCAAAGCCAGAAGGGCAACCGAGAAAGCATCTTCATAGATCTCTGTTTTATTGACTAGAGTTACGTCATTTTTACCAACCAAGTTAAAACACGAATAAAGTAACTTCGAAAGTCTTATACACGGATCAATATTCACTTCTAGATTTGTAATCGCATTTTTAAAGCAATTTATAACACTTGGTAATAACTTCGTGACCGTGGCATTAAAAGCGCGGCACCGTGTAGGCAACCTGAAACTTGCTGCTGCCTTCAGTCCAGACCGCAATGAAGACCATGCTTGCCAATACAAAAGATTACCCCACAGAGAGTCGGACCAATCACTCTTGAGCCACTCGTTTTTTACGTATCTTGCAGTAAACTCAGCGACAAGTCCACTGATCCGTGGAATACTCTCAACTAGATTGGTAAAGCTATTTTCCGTACCTCGTGATATATATTCAAAAAAAGCATCTCAACTTTCTTTTTGACATTAAGATTGATATTATGCCTATTTTTGCAATCAAACACCATATTCTTGAGGTAGATAAACCCCCAAAAACGTCCATCAGCAGATAAACTACCATTGCTAGAGAAAACACACGATGCTCAAGTTGCCAGCTTTGAAGAAATTTTGGGTAATTTTGGGGAAATTTTGAGGAAATCCCCAAAGTGAAATAGCCTTCCCCAAAGTTTGGGGAAATTTTGGGGACACAATGGTATCGCTAACTATGACAAATGTCAGGTTTTAGGGACGCGAATGGGTGGTCGAATGACTTTCCCCAATGGTGAACATGACTTAAGAAATGATGTCACTTTTCGTAGTAGGTCCCAATCTATCCATCATCGTGGTACAAATTCATTTGAAAATCTGCCAGTGGATATGATTAAATGTTTCCTCTGTGAACCTATGCATATGACCTACTTAGGTGTTACTAAAAAACTTATTTCATTATGGAAGGACCTAGCTATTAAGCGACTTAATAGAATGGATCAATCTATTATCGCATCAATAAATAATGCACGAGATTTATGTAGACAGCACACTACATGCGACTTTCAACGGAGATATCGTTCACTGTATGAAGTTTCTGTATGGAAAGCAACTGAATGTCGGTTGTTCTTATTATATTTAGGACCTGTAGTTCTTCATAATAGGTTACCACTATCAAAGTACAGAAACTTCCACTCACTCTCTTTGTCTATGTATTTATTATCACACCCTAGGTTTCATAGCACATTCGCTAACAGTGTTCAGGTTTACATTAATAACTTTTTATTAGGTTACGAAAGGTGTTACGGTACCGAACACTTAATCTACAATGTGTATAGTTTAAAGCACATTGCAGACGACGTTATGGAACATGGTACTTTAGAATCGTTGGCAGCATTTCCTTTTGAGTCCTACATGAGAAAAATTAGGCGTTCAGTACACTGTGGATTTGCTGCGGCTAAAAAAGCCGCACAGCGATATGCCGAAGAAATGTACTTTCAAAGTATACTGAATCAGGATATGGCTGACAATGTCAATGAGCCTGAGGTAACTGATGATTCTTCAAAGCAAATGGTCAGTTACAGGAATTCAAAGCTATCTACTGCAAGGCCGGACAATGTAGTTATTGCCAAAGGTAGACCAAAGTTCGTAACAGAAATACGTGATGGAGGCCTTATTAGGTTCCGGCCATCCCATAATCCTACTGATTTATATACCGACCCTTTTCCCTCCAGTAATATTGGTATTTTTAAGTGTTCTACCTTAAGCCACGAATGCACGTGGATAACACTAACAGACATACTTTGTAAGTGCATGTGTTTGCGCACACAACATTATGAGGTCATTATCCCTCTTTGCATACATTCTAGTAGCAGAAGTGACATCATTTCTCAAGGACTGTTGCAAATATAGCACTTTAGCCAGTAAGAGTCTGTTGGTTAGTGATTTTGCGTCCTCCATCAGGAAGTGTTAGTGAATTTTCATCAATGCAATAAATTTACAATTTTTCACGCCTGCGCATTCATTTACAGCATCAAAGTGGAAAGTACATCTTAGTTGACGATAAGGAGAACAAGCAAGTGGTCTGCATTCCTAACAAATTGCTCCTGAACAACGACCATTATGTTTATCGGGATGATGTTAGTGAGCACGACATTATTGAGGGTGTCGATTTTGGAAGTCGATTCAGCGTCAGAAAATGCACCGTTATGCATCGTTGTGGTAAGTTGTAATCAATTTAAATTTATTGCTTTTAGATGACTACAGTGTTGCCCAGCAAATCAAAGTGTGCTTAACAACAGCATTGGGCTACAATAATAATAACCTTAGTAGAAACGGTGAAACACAGCCCTGTGAAGCTGAATAGCCAAAACGGTAAATTGTTCAAATTACTATATCATTTGTGTTAGAACTGTCAAACGAAAGCACAAGGATTATCTAGGCACCTCTGAAGAACTAGAGGTTGCTGAGGTTGAGGCTGGATTTGCCCCGGTGGAATTTCCAGTTGTCAACATTTTGACAGGAAACTTTTCTCCCATTGCGAGGTTTGTACCCACTTATCAATTGTCATATAGTAGTTCATCAAAAGCTGACCTTTCATCACCACCAATTCCACGTTCGTCGACGGAAGGTGATAAACCGTAAGTTGCATTTACTGTATTCCTGATAACAAAAGTTTGAGCGATGATATAAATCACATGTTCACAATTATCTTGAAAGCGGTCACTGAACTATCTAGCAGGATGGATAGACTGATCGCTGTATGTGAACGCTTAGCCATGGGTGTAAGTGAAAGGCCTATGGAAGATAAGGAAAGTGATGCAATCACTTTCCCATTACGAACGCATGACGAGTTACGTTCTTTAGAGACAGCTTTAGAGAACAAAAAATTCCGCGATCATTTCGTAAGTTGTAACCGGTGTTTGAATAAATTTTAGATGGGAAGATTATACCATCTACTATGTGATGATCTTCGGAAATCAGCAAAAGCCTGTCTGAAATACCTCCTTTCTCTGGAACTGGCAAACACGTACACCTTGCACGGAACCGGAAGTAAATTTGGTATTAGTAAGTACAAATTTTACTCGATGGTTCAAAGTAAGTCCACTTTACTGTATTAACATATTTGTAGGTGCTTTGAGTTCACGATTCAGAAGTGCAAGCTGCCAGGAAAAGGATATAATACACGCCATGACTACAGCAAGCCAGGCCTTCTTGCATGACGCAAGAGATAAAGTACATAAACGTGGATGGCGATCCAAAGAAAGGATGAGCTAAAACTACTTAATATGTTTGTTATAATACATATGTTAACTTTGTCCCACATTGTTCCTACTCGTTCACCTTCCTACTCTTTTGTATATTGTTTAATACTACTTAATAAAATTCATTAGTCAGTTGTATTCCCAATAACTGAAATTCACTTTGCGGATTTCCCCAAAATTCACAGGATATTAATTATCATTGTATTTATCACTATAATCACTGTACTTTAATTACTGTAACA